CTAACCCTAACCCTAACTCTAACCCTAACCCTAACTCTAACCCTAACCCTAACTCTAACCCTATCACTAAACCTAACCCTAACCCTAACACATACCCGAACCCTATCACTAACTATAATCCAACCATATATATAAGAACCATTTATTACAAAACACTATCTATGGTGGGTCCGGAACTCAAGTGGGAAAAAAATTTCGCCCCCCGGGCACCATCCCCCACCACCCCACACGAGTAATGAGCAATAATATGATATGAGAATGCATTTCTACCAAGTGAAATTTTTACAACAGATTTTGAATTCACACCTGCTGGCCGGCTCCTATCCTCTTTAATCACATAACCGTAACGACCATACAGCATGGGCCTTTGAGTTGAGATTAACGCGCCGATATCCCCGTTTCCCTAAACCACGTCCGTCCGTCCGTCGGCCCATCCATCCATCCATCCATTCATCCATCCATTTCGTCTTTATATGTCTTTTTAATGGATGAATTGATGGCATAGTAGAGAAACACACTCCATCCCTGACAAATCCATAACTCTTCCCGTAGTCTTGATCTTAATTTGAACCCCGTCGCCATATGCTGCTCCGTAATATCATGTTTCCCGATCAGTCTCTGATGTAGCCGTTTGGGGGACAATGGAATACGCACACATAATGATTATGCATAGATAAAAGCGTACAAAGACTTGCACGCGATATGAGAACCTGTATAACACGTTATCGCCAAGTGTATCGTCCTCTTTGCCCTTCTCGTGGCTATCACCTACCTCCAGACGCCACGGCAGTTAGCCCAATGTCGAGTACACCTACACGATACTCGTACATAAATTAGTGTTAGAGATATGTTATGCGTTACATAAGTTACGTCACAGTTAAGTTAGGCTCAAGGGGTCGTTGTCGTAACAGGTACTACAGATATGTACCCGAGGTACATATATGTATACACAAAGTGTACCAGACTTGTACTACAGAAGTGTACCCTAACTATAACACTAACCCTAACCTTAACCCTAACCCTAACTCTAACCCTAACCCTAAACATACCTCATATAAAAATATAAACATAATACTAAACAACATAAAACTACCTCGAGTACATATCTGTAGTACCTGTTACGACAACGACCCTTCGTGCTTAAGTTAGTGTCGATAGTTTATCGTTACAATATACGCAACGCGAATCGAATAGCGTTTCGAACGAGCGAAGCGATGATTGTTTTCGCGTTGATTTTTCACTGTTCGCTTTCCGATTGCGTTCTAGTTCGGCGCGGGTGCAAATGATCGACCGGCCACGACAAGTTGCTACCGCGGCACCCTGCGAAACGCACGGGCAGCAATAATTACTCGAACGCCGTCAGTCAGACATGCAGGTAGGACGGGCTCGGACACTTATTTAGGCAGACGCGTATGGTCATGCGCGAAGGAATGTCTTCTTGCTCGCGCGAACGCGTCGGAGAGTCCGCTTGGGGAGCTCCGTCGATCGACGGACGATCTCCCTCGTGGCCGTACCTGCGCGCGCGCGGCGGCGGCGCCCTTTGTTCTAGCGATGGCCGCGGAATCATGAATATTCACGATTAATGGCTGCCGACAGCGCGCGGACATCAGGCAACAGTGGCGCGCACCCATCAATGTGTCTGTTGCACGATTGTTACGTGTCGTCGCAGCGTCTGTGAAAGGAAAGGGATGAGAATACTGTGACGCCAGAAGGGAATGAGACCCACACGCTGACTTCATTACTGCTGTGCCGCAGTGCGGGGCCGTTGATCCGGGCGGCCGTACCTGCTGCTGGTGGAATGTGTTGGTACGACACTTATCGGCCCGTAAGCTGCGCCAATAAATGCGGCAAGGTAGAGGAGACGAAAGAGGCGAATAAATAAACGATTAAAAATGCTTGGCATCGCGCCGCGTGGGAAGGTCGCTACGTGCGAGCGCTGCTGCATGCGTCTCGCTGGTCCGCCGCAATTTCTTTTTCTCTCTGTTCTCATGGATCATGTATATCTTTGTCATTCTCTTCTATTTTCCCCGCGGTGAGATCTGTTATATTGTAAGATCTGGTCGAAAATCATTGGTAATGCACATATAACTCATGCANAGAGAGAGAGAGAGAGAGAGACTGTAAGTCGTATATATCAAGCAGATTATTAAAAAAACGTTTATTAAAACTCGTATTAATTATACGGGATTACTATTGCTGCTTATTGTTGTTTATAGATTCATCGATGTATTATAAAAAAGATTATAGAATAAATTAATTGATAAAACCTGGGCACAATTCTTCTTTGTTGTTGTTTCAGAATCCTGTGATGCAAATGGCGCTGATGGCGCCAGCTGGATATTTATCGCGGGTTTTACTGATAGCAGGACTCTTAATCACTGTGAGTAATTCACAAATACCTGCATACCGACGTGCATACGTGGATTTACACATATAGAACCATAGATAGAAACAAATAAAGATAGATAGATAGATGGATAGATAGATTGATTGATAGATAGATAGATAGATAGATAGATAGATAGATAGATAGATAGATAGATAGATAGATAGATAGATAAATAGTTAGATAGAAAGAAAACAGATAGATAGGTGGATAGAGGGATAGATTGATGGACGAATAGACGGACAAACGGACGGACAGGCGAACGAACGAAGGAAAGGACGGAAGTACTCGTTTATAAGTGGGTGGATGGATGG